TCTCAAGGACCCAGAATCCTGTGTGAAGGAGTGGGAGGTGCGGCAAAATCCTGCTAATCCCTTAAAGCTACATCTGAGCTGAAAAGGAAGGGATTTCTGCTGATGAGCTCACTGTTATGGGCCCTCCAGAGAACAGTGGTATCAGTGGGAGCCCGGAGCATCAACCCCCACCAACCGGTACATCAGACATGGATCCTGCGAAGCGGCGACGCCTATGAGGAATGGAACCGCACCTCCCATACGGCCCTGTTGTGGACATGGTGGCCAGATCTGTATTTTGACTTAGAACTTGTACTGGGGCAATTTTATCACCTCCCCCAGAGAAACCACCAGGAACAGTATTATATGAAAAAACGGGCTTTGGTTGACTCATCATCCACAGTCAACCGCCAAGCTTTGCGGGCAAACGGGTTCTTTGCTTGTCCAGGTTTTCGGACAGGTTGGTGGAGGCTCAATTGTGGGGGTGCTGATAGACTCTACTGTGCTGAATGGAATTGTGTGGAAGTTAATGATGGGCAGTGGAGATGGGAGGTTTCCCCTGACCTGATTGATATGAGGTTTACTTCTCCATACTACCAATGGACAGTATCTCCACTGGCCAACCAGGTTAAAATCACCTTTACCTCAAAGGGAAAAAATGATAAAAGGTGGATAGATGGGCTGACATGGGGCCTGATTCCCTACCAGATGCCATGGAGGGGGGGTCCTGTTCCAGATCTACCTCCAGGTCGAGGCAGTGGTTAGGTCACTGGTAGGACCTAACCCGGTGTTAAATACCCCTCATCTGAGGCCCCGACCTCCCCTGCCTGGGTCTCCTAGGCCCACCTTCAAGCCATCAGGCACCACAACGACATCAGCAGCCCCAGCCACGGAAAGGCCGGGGACGGCTGCGAAACCACAGACTTCCAGCAACCCTATGTGGGAGATGGTGCTAGCTGTAGTAGAGACCCTTAATCATACCACTCCCTCCCTCACTGACCCATGTTGGCTGTGCTACCCAGGATCCCCACCCTTTTATGAGGCTATTGGGATAAATAATTCCTATACTCTCAACAACTCTCATCCCACCTATTGGGATGGGGGACCATGGGGACTTACTCTTGCTCAGGTCTTGGCCTCTGGCACGTGTGTAGGCACAGTTCCAACATCCCAAAGCCAGTTATGCTCCTCATACAATAACACCCCATGGGAGCAGGGAAAGTGGATTATACCCACCTCGGGCTGGTGGCTCTGTTCAAAAACGGGCCTCACCCCAGCCCTATCCACCTCTGTATTTAATGCTAATAATGAATTTTGTGTACTTGTGGCCATTCTGCCCCACCTCTCATACCACTCTCATGAATCCCTCCTCTCCTATTGGGAGGAAAAACAGAGTCCACTTCGAAAGAAGAGGGAACCCATTACTGCCTTAACCATCGGAACTCTCTTCTCCGTGGGAATAGCTGAAGCAGGGACAGGAATTGCAGCCCTAGTAACGTGAGAGCAAGGGCTCACGGCACTAAGGCTAGCAATTGACAGGGACTTGGAACAGCTCCAGCAAATGATGTCAGACCTGGAGCAATCCCTCACTTCCTTATCAGAGGTGGTGCTACAAAACAGAAGGGGCTTGGATCTCCTATTTTTAAAGAGGGCGGGCTATGCGTAGCTTTAAAAGAGGAATACTGTTTCTATGTGGACAAGACAGGGACAGTCAGGGAATCTTTGACCAAGTTAAAAAAGAACCTGGAGAGGAGGCACAAGGAGTATGAAAGTAGTGAAAGCTGGTTCGAGTCTTGGTTTATCCGTAAACCATGGTTTACAGCTCTCCTCTCAGCTATCGCAGGACCTCTAATTATTCTATTGCTAGTAGTCACAATTGGTTACTGCATAATAAATAGGCTACTAAGGTTTGTTCAGGAAAAGATCGATACTGTCCATCTCTTGGTCCTTCGCCAGAAATACCAAGCCTTAGATACTGCTGAGGAAGATTCCTCAGTCTGACCTAGAAAAAAAGGGGGGGAAATGTTAGGGAAAG